CTTTATTAGGCTAGTTTAATGTTTTATGCTCTCAACACTGAGGGCACATAAAAAGTCTGGCCCTTAAAATGTATTTAAAAATAGTTACCTTTCATGGGAAAAAAATGAAGCTAAGAAAAACCAAAAGAAAAAAAGAAAACAGAAAAAAAGTCCGTTCAGAAAGATTGTTTCTGAAAAGAAGCTTAAAACATGTTTTATCAGGTGAATGGTCTGTTGGGTTCTGTGATCTGCTGTTTTAAAACCCAGGTTGGTCATTCACAAAAGGTAAATCAATGATGTGTCAAACTCCCTCTTATGAATTTCCTTTTAGGTGTTTATCTGTTACATCTCGCATTGCAAGCTTTTCTGAGTAGAAAACTCCTTTTTCTGATCATAGCGTGGTAGTCAGGGCAATAGATGCTATTGCTACCTCTAAAAACCCATAGGAAGAACTGATACGTTGGAAATCATCCACAGGGTAAGAAATCTCCACTCTTTGAAGGCTAAACTTCTTTTGGATGTGGTTTGTGTCTCATCTTTTCATACAGGAGATTTATTGCCTACACAGTTTTATAACACACGGTTTTATTTAGCTTTACGGTTTAGTGTTACAGCAGCATTTGTATACTGGACATTATTCTGAGGCTAGAAAAAGTCAACAGAAAGTCTGTTTACTTAATTAGCTGTCATGCTGTGTTTCAAGGGATAGAAACACAAGGAGAAACTTGCTTGCCTGTAGGTTGATGTACTCCAGCACCCTGTAAGCTTCCTACCTTATGAGAAAAAGCTGTTCCCATGCCTGAGAGCTGGATTTAGGTGCTGTGCCTATCCTGTCTGCACCATGGTGGATGGAATTAGAGCCTTTTCAGTATATTTGGAGCATGTTTAGTGAGGGCAAGCGGCAGAGACCTGGGGTAGTTCATTTTACTTCCTACTCATCGATCCAGATGACAGAGTGGCCTGGGACAGGAGTCATTCTTGGTAAGAGAATGGGATCTGCAAACCCCTTCAGTACTTACAGAATTAGACTAATGCTAATTTTAGAGGCCAAAGCTGATGTTAGAGGCCAGTCCTATCAACCAGACTCTTTTACTACTGTGTCAAAAAAGATCCCTTGGTGACCATATAACCTTGAATTAACTGTCTACCCCAGAAATCCTCTAATCTCATAATCTATAATGTCATCATTGAATTTCTGTCATAATTCACTCAATTGCATGTCTGTTGCTACAGTGCTTCAATTTGGGGAAATTTCTGTTTCCTTACTCGGAAAAGGGTTTACACACTCAGGACCAATTTGCCAGCTGGAGCATATTTCTTCTGCAAAGATAAGGCTCTTATAAATATCTGAAAGCACCATCATCTCTGCATTTATACTTTTGACAGTATGTCTCTCAATGACAGCCATCATCACAGTCAGCAGTCTCCTTGCGCCTAGGATGTGGTGCTCTGGCTGAGTGTGTCGCTGGGGTATATCAGTGGAGGCCTGAGTTTACTTTGGACAAGCTACTGAAGAAAAAGTATGAAACTGATGACATGAAGATATGGGGCATAATTATGACTAGCTTTAGGTAGCACTCATGGATCCCCTGGAACAGGTCTGTTGGGTTTTCAGGCATGGTTGTAGCTCCAACCTGGTACTTAAGGACTTGTGAGTGCAGCCACCCCAGAAAGAGACCAGGAGGTAGCTTTCATTTTTTCCCCTCCTTTACATGGATTTTCTTCCTGAGAGGAGACAATTGTGCTCCTGAACTGGTAGAGAGAGGATTGTCATCTGATTAATCCATCAGAGGACTGTAGTGGTGTGGCTGTGTGTCATTTGACAGTCAGGAACAGAGATTAGGAGATTCCCAGTTCAAAAAATTAATAGACACCAGAGTCTTTTCTGCAAGACCTCAGATTGTATGCATAAAATAACTTTGAAATCCTTTCAAATCTTCATTTATCCTCAAATAGTTTTAGTGTGGTCCTGCATTAGTACTTTCTCTAATATCAGTGAAATGTCAGTTCTGTTTTGCATACTACTCTGATTTTAAGTACTTCCAGTATCTGAAGGGGGCCTACAAGTATGCTGGAGAGGGACTCTTCACTTGGGACTGTAGTGATAGGACAAGGGGTAATGGGTTAAAACTTAAACAGGGGAAGTTTAGATTGGATATAAGGAGGAAATTCTTTCCTGTTAGGGTGGTGAGGCACTGGAATGGGCTGCCCAGGGAGGTTGTGAATGCTCCATCCCTGGTGGTGTTCAAGGCCAGGTTGGACAGAGCCTTGGATGACATGGTTTAGTGTGAGGTGTCCCTGTCCATGGCAGGGGGGTTGGAACTAGACAATCTTAAGGTCCTTTCCAGCCCTAACTGTTCCATGATTCTATGATTCTATTTTATTGGAAATGATGATAACTGGATATTTCCCTCAATGTCTTGTCTCCATGGTGTTTCAAGAGAATCTTGGGGTTTGGGATTTTAAAATATTATTTAATAATCACCATTTGATTCTATGATCTCACTCTTAGCTGTTGGAAATCAAAGTGGAGCAATGTGTACTGGACTGATAAAATGGCCTTACCATGTAAAAAGGGAAAGGAGACAACCTCCTCCTCTAACTTTTCTTCATGCTGCTCATGATTTGCTGCTGGGCCTGACCTGATGTTTTAAAAAGTCTATGCTTTACTAGCTATATTAAAATAAGGCACAGTTGGTATAGTTTTAAAAGTCACTAATAACTGGAAAGACCTCTTAGAGCCCTGGTGATATTTTTTAATCTCCTGACTTTTGCATATAGAAGAATTATTATTACCATCTGAAAGAAATTTTGTACTTTGAACTGTGAAGCCCAAAGTTAGTCAAATTACAATGTCTTCGTATCAGTGAAAATTGTTTTGACATTCAGAGAATGTTATCACTTGTAAGACTATGTCGTAAATATTACTATCCATTTCATCAGTGTGACATGACCGTTTATACTGATGTATGTCAGAATGAAGAGGTACGGCTTGCATTCATTTGTAACCAAATGTTCTTCTGCCCTGTATTTTCATTAAGCTTCATCTTTTGTACTTGGGGTTGACTGTCAGTCTAATTTCAATCTATAGCTGTAGAAACTAGAGACTTGCTATTGAAAAGGCAAAACCAAAAAAGCTTTGAATGAATTGTCTTCCTGGCATTTGTTTAAATCCTAAGGTGTCTAGTTAGTCCAACTTGCAGTGGGCTACAGCCAATATTTTACTAAATGGGTATTTGTCTGATCAGAGAATGGACTTTTGCAGTTTTCATCCCATTGGGTATAAAAGAAACTGAAGGTTGGACTCATTTCAGAAGATCTTGTAGCTCTAAGTTGTTTCAAAGGAAAGGATAGGTAGGTATAGAGATACATATGTGTGTGTCTGTATACAATATATATATCTTATAGCTCTAAGGTGTTTCAAAGTAAAGCATAGGTAGGCAGACATATATATGTGTGTATATATATATGACAAAAACATCACTCATGGTTTCATTACTTCTTTTGTGGCATTCACTGTCATTCTCACAAAACTCATTCGGACACCTTAGCAAAATGGGCTCTGGTTTACACCTGCAGTTAAACGAATGCTCTTACAATTCAGTACAAGCCTACCCTGGTTAGAAAAAGATTGTTGTGATTTATTTTTTATTTTACCTTTATTGTTTAAATGGCGCTGTTCTCATCTTGAGTGGGCTTAAATGAGTGGGGGAAGAATAACCAATATCTGATGATACTTGGTAAAATTAGGTTAACTCTTAAGGTAACTTAATTAGGTGAATTAGTTTTAAAATACTAATTAGCTCCTATCAGAAACATCTACATTTGGAGTCTTATTGTAAAGGTGAGGATGCTGGAATCTTTAGGGTGGCACACTTCAGAGAAAAGATGCTGTCTTGTGTCTCATTATATTTGCTTATGTTTTTTGATTACGGGAGAAGAAAAAAACCCAAACAAGTAACAATTAAAAACCCCAGAAAAACCACCTAACAGCTGCTTTTAACAAGATTAAAATCCTTCCCAGCGATGTGAAGAATTGAACGCGAATCAGGCTCCAGTAGTCCCTTAAAATGCATGTGATTTAAAAGCTCTGTTTGAAACAGATATTTACAGTTTAAAAGAAAAGTAAGAAAAAACCAAATGAAACCATAAAACCAAAAACCTGGGGGGAAAAACCCCAACCAACCAACTGAACAACAAAACCAAACAAAGGCAAAATCCCACCTTTTTGTCTCAAAATTCTTATTTCAGGTGTCTTGTAGGTTGTATCCTTGGTTCCAAGTGATATCCTGATGCAGCATGACCTGGTGACAGGGAAGGGTTCACAAGGTCCCTTCCTCGAGGATTAATATTTGTAGCAAGAAAGATATTTTAGCTGGTTTACCAGTACACAGGGACTATTTGGATTGTGGCATTTTCTCCTGTCTGGGTTCCTGTAAAGATGCCAAGGAGAAGAGGAGATGAATCAGCAAGTACATGAAGAATAATCACAGCTGAAAATATAGTGTTATTTAGCGCTGGATTTAGGACTGTACAGCTTTTAACCTATCAAATAGATTATATACCCTATGAAAAAATAACACATTTCATTTGCCTAGTAGCAACACAAAAGCAGGGGCTCTTGGATCCATGAAGGGGAGCATAAATAGTGCCTATCCTTTGGGGACAAAAGTGCCTGGGCTGTAGAAGGTAAAAATGCTCTGTTGTCCCTTGGTTTTACCAAATAAAACATGCAAAATAGCACAGCTGAGAAGAAAGCAGCTTTTTGCAGTGGAGATACCTAGTGCATCAAAAGCACCCCGGTTAGTTCAGCTGGGCCTGTGATTTCAACACTGCTTTAAGTATAAAATACTCTTCTCATGGAAAATCAGCATTGCTGAACTCCATCTCTGCTGTAAGGTCCAGAAGGATCTGGGGCCATGAACCAAAACTTGCTCAGAAGTCATCCCCCAAGGGCCACAAGGTTCGTCCCAGCTCTTGGGCGGGTCTTCCATTCGGGGAGATGGGTGGGAAGTCTCTGCACTCCTCCTTTTGAAATGAAGGAGCTGGGCACAGACGTGAAGGCAGAGATGTCTCCAGTCCTCGCCTGCTTGCTGGTTATCATGGCATGCTGCTCGGGATGCCAACACCATGCCTGCCGTTGCGTGGGAACGGTCTTCATTTGTGAGGAGAGCAAAGTGGTCCAGGTTCCCCGGGACATCCCTGCCAACACCACCGAACTGTAAGTAGGAAGAGGGATTAGTTGTGACCAGCAGCCTTGCACTGGCTCTGAAAACAAACTGCTGCTTGGCAAGCCAAGGGTCGGGTTCATAGGGAGTCACTCGGGAGACTTGCGCCAGCTGTTTGGAAAGCACAGCCGTTCCTCTGCTGCTCACTTAATTACATCTTGAAGCTCCTCTCCGTTACTCTAATTGTGCTCATTTTAAGATCTCTGTTAAGAAAAGATATGGTACCTTAGAATGCAAGGCGCAGCCTAAATTTTAAACAAGCTTCCTTGGTGCTGTGACAGTAATCTGAAACATAAAGCCTAAGCTTTCTTTACAGCTTGTGTAGTGCAACTTGTCTGCCCCAAACAACTTGATGATGAGCATTTACGTTTGTGCTTTCTGAAAGATTTGTGCTTGTTTGCCAAGCAGCAGCTTAATGTTTTCTTTCTGAAATCACAAAGGCATTGCAGAAAGGACTCTGATAAGCATTCAGAGAGCTATCCTTTTCTATTAGAGGAGCAGTTGGAGAGAGTAAATAATGTAAAGATATTGTCCTGCATTGCTTGAGGAAGGGTTTTGCTATCTTAAAGCTTCTCTGTGTTTTGTGTAAAGTAACATGAAGTAATAACCATATGACAGCTGTTTTCTGGGTCAGTAGCACAGGCAAGCAAAACAGCTTACGCAGTGGCAAGTATTTAACTGTGCAAGTGATTGTTTTCATTTTCATTTTCTAAAAGCAAATTAGATCCCCTCTTGCCTACACCCACAGCTGCCTGACATCATTATGACCTAAAGAAAAAACCAAAAGGAGTAGTCCTGGATAAGCCCTTTGATTTATAACAGAGTGGCAAGTTTGGAGGGAGGATACAACACAGAATGATATGTCACTAACTGGAAAAATATATCCCTGTCCCAGTGTTGCACACCACAATATACCCATGGTTACTATCCCACAGTTCCTAGGGCAGAAGTTTCCTTCTTTCACAGGGAGGAGTTATTATGCTCACTGAATAAGTAGGCTGCAGTGAAAACTTGAGAAAACCGAGTTAACCAGAGAAGGTCAGTAAAGGTTTAAGTCATTCTCGCAACTAGAGGGAAAAATAATCCATCTGTGGTTTAGGTCATCTAAATCCTGAACAAACCGTGCTCCAGGCGTACACTGCTAATTTGGTTTAATTTTGCTTTGATTGTTTCTTTAGATTACACAGTTACGGTTTGCCTTCTAGAGATTAAGCAGAAGCAGTTTATAATTGTTTCTGCAAAGAAGCAGAGTTTTGTATCACCAAATAGCACCTGTTACTAAATGGGATTTGCTCACAGCAGATCTGTGTTAACTTCTCGAGGGTTTGTGGAGGATGCTAATTTGTGGGTCCCTCGAGCGTGAGTGTGTATTCTCTGAAACAGGCATACTAGAATGTTAGTATGGCTGAAAACAGGAAACGTTATTTCTTCTGGCAGCACTGTGCATATCCTGGGGTTGGAACCTCTCTACTTAACTCTCCTCTCACACCAACATTTGATTCCTGAGGAGGTAATTCTGATCTCATTCAATCAATACAGCCATGGGACAGATTTAGGCATAGCTTAAAAATTTGTCCATGAAAACTATGTAGAGTTGCTTTGAATATACCAAATATTAGCGCTACTAAAGCCAGATACATTAGCTGAAGAGCTATTAAATCACTGTTCTGGTATCCCAGGGAAATAGCTTTTCCTCAGCAGCTAGCTGCAACCGTTGGTAGGCTGTAGCTCTGATGGAACAAAGAAAAGGGACAGAATAAGGCAGCTTGGTCCAATTCTGCTCCTGGTCCTGCAGAGTTATGTGAGAGAAATGCTATTATCAGCATCCTGTGATAAAATGGTATTTGGAAATCAAATTTGGTCATATTGTGTTTGTTATAAAGAGAAACTGCGTTTAACACAGTTACTTCCCTAACTTTCTCCTGCTCCTAAACTGTACTCCTTTGATGTGTAGCCCTTCTTAGCTGCCATACAGCTGCAGCAGCCAGCAGCAGCATGTAGAGGTTGACCAGTTGGTTCCTTCAGCCTGACCGTTTCTATGCCATGCAGATGATACAAGAAATATCTCTTGAGAATGGAAGCTCCTCAAAGAGAGCTGGCAAGCTTGGACACATGACTCGGCTAATGGAAAGGAATTGTTTAATGTGTTAGTGTGCTAGAGGCTTTAGAGGGAGAGTTGTGCCAGTTTTAGAAAGGAGCAACTGAAACAACTGAACTGATTAACGACAGGGGCAGTCCATATATCATATGCACCCAAGGTGCTATATAAGAGGAAACTACAGCTAAAACAAGTAAGGCCTAGGCTTGTTGATTCTACAGTTCTATGTGGTATTTTGTATTTTAAAAACCATTCTCTGGCTTCACTAGCCAGTTTAGCCATTTTCAGAGCAGTTTAGAGGTATGTTATATGACATGTTTTCTCCCAGGCATCTGCAAACTATAAACAGCAAGGTTTTTTACTTGCTATCTGCATAGGTGTTTTTGTACAGCTGCTCAAGGATGTTTATTTTAAGGCTATCAAGTCAAGGATGAGGAGATGTCTGACCACTAAACAGTGGCTGCCTTGAAATAGCAAGTTCTGTGTCATGTACTGTGTGAGTCAGATGTGCTTCCCTGCAACTGAAGCTGCAAATGAAACAGTGAAACAGTGGCTGCAACACGGTTATTGACAGCTGCAGTTAGGATATGTTCATTTTTAATGCTTTAAAACTTAAAGGTGAAATGACATTGAAACCTGCAAACAGTTACAGTTCTTGCTCAGGGGGTTGTGCTGGTCAATTGACCTTAATCTAAGAAAGATGCAGTGTGGAGAGGATAAGGTAACTTAAAATGATGACACATAAAGTTTTCAAGTCCCTGTGTTATGGTGGGTCATCATATAGTTAATCAATAAACCCACATATTACCAGAAGGGGATGAGAATATTAGCACAATGGAACATATTGAAAACATATTACGTGCCATCTAAAGCTTTATTTGTTGTTGCTGTTGTTATTTGGTTTGGGTTTTTTTTTTTTTTATTTAAAACAGCTTTGTTTTTGTTAGGGTAGAAATAGGTCTGCAGTAAGTGCGGTATTCTTCTCTTCCTGAATTTATGATCCGTTCATGCTTTGAAGTAGAAAGCTATGGAGGTTGTTGTATGATCGCTGGCTGTATATCTGTGGAGTGTTCCAGCATTTATGCTGCATTCTGGTTTTGCCATTTTCATTGGGAGGATGAAAAGAAATAAGCAGAGCATAAGAGAGAAAAGAAAGGAAAAAAGTGATGCTAAAGTATAATGAACTCTGCAGGGCAGACCCTCAGCTAGTATAAAATACCAAGTATATATCTCTACAGAAAAAAAATCCACTTTACAAAGCTTCAGGAGCTTTATTTCAACACAAGGAAGTATGCTGCACACAATAGGAGTTGCTTTGCAGTGCAGTACTGTCTGCTGGCTTACTCGTGATAATATGGCAATAAACACACACACCTGACTTAAATGGCTGCATCTTAATTTATCTATGAAAGATGTATGCCACACACACAGAGAAATCAGAGGCCTTCTGTTATATCCCAACATATCTGCTACCAGACAAAATAGGTTCCTGGGGCTGGTCAGCTCCACATCCCAAAATAAAGCCTCTCTGTTAGACATTCTAGGTATATTCTGCTTCCGTTCCTACGAGGAATCAAAACATGACTATTGAATGAGGTTATCATCAGTGTTTTTCGACAGTGTTTGAGATTAAACTAGTCAGTTGTAGGTGTTATATTTTCTTGTTTCAGAAGTGTCTTCGTCTTGGGTGTCTCCCCATTCAAATCTTGTTTCATATGGTTATAAACTAGAAGAGTTTGACAGTAATGTTATTCATGAGATGTGAGCTGGTAAATGCCAAGGTTTAGCATAGAGGTACAGCAAGAGATAAAACCCTAGTAAGAACAGAAAGAAGTAGTTTTAAACTAAAATGTGGTTAAAATGGAGAAGTTGGTAAGCCTAGGGGACATTGCAAGGTAGGATGGAGATATATCTTTTAATTCTCGAACAAGGACATGGATCACAAAACAGATCTGAGGAATCATGAATTCATTGTTGCCACGTAGCAGTTGATTTCCTCTGTTCTGAATGGTATACCATGCTAAACTCTTCAACAGTATGGATGATTTCCTAGCTTCATTTACTCCCCTTACTATGGCTTCTATATTTCAGACTTTACCTTCTCTTTTCTAATATTAAAGTGTATTAGCTTCATCTCTCATCTCACCTAGGGAAGCCAAGTCGCTTTGGCACTGGGAATCCTACTGATACTCAAAGGTGATTATTGCTAGCTGGGAGAGCAGAGCATAGCCAGAGCTCTAGGGAAAAGTTTTCAAGGGTTCTATCAGTTTGAGAGAATTAAAGTGCTTATGTGTTTCTGCCTCAGCTTTGCTGAGTTGCCCTTCCATCCTTTCCACAGGGAGCTCAAGGTATTTATACAGAGGGGGATGCAGAAAAGGGGGTGTGTGTGTGTGCGTCTGACAGCGGGGTACAAGCAGCTGTACTGTTAGAGCCACCAAAGCAGGACAACTCACTCATCCATTATCCCTGTATCTGAATATGCCTTCAGCTCCTCACTGAGCTTTATAAATGACAGCTTGGGAATTGGAGTTAATCATTTTCTGTATTTGGCCCTTAGCAAAGTTGTATCAGCATTGCAGTTCTGAAGAATAAAACTTTTTCTCTTTGGGCCATGTCTTTTAAATGTAAATAGAAAAATAAAAAGCTTCTGAAATACTTGATCTTCCCAGCACCCTTTCTGAGGTGTAATGGAGAAGAGATATCCAATGGAAGGTGTCTTTAAAAGCTCCAAATTGAATTCCTCTGGAGGAGTATCATGCACAAAATGTGTTGCCTGATAAGCCAGCAGGAGAAAGTCTGCTGTGCAGCTCAAGGGTTTCCTTTGCAGATGCCAGCGGGGTCTCATCGGGCTGGCAGGCCACTGAAATACTGGGTATGTGGAGAGCTTTAAGGGTG